GCGAGTGGATTTTCCTGATGGATCTCATATCTATAAGATGATGTCTGTGTGCTCCTTTTCTATGCGTGTTCCTCTCTTAACACGAAAGTGAAAGTAACCTACGCATTCGGGATAGTTTAAAAAAATTCGGGTCTAATCGGGTCCATTAGGGAAAAGCATGTTTATTTTAAATTACCCGAGAAAAAATTTAATTTGTCCGAGGTACTCGTTGAAGTTTTGGACCCGAACCCGCTCGGGTCTCGGTTCAGACCTCGGGTTTTCGGATCCAAGTGGACCCGTGAAGACCTCTAGTTCAGCTCACCTGTATGCATTGTAAAGTCCAAATTCTACTCTGTGTAATTTATTAATTAATTAGCTAGCTAGCTAACCAGACTGAAGGCTCAAAACTTAAAAAGTAAAATCAAAATCATCAGTTATTGTACCAGCCACAACAAGCTGTATAATTATTATTATAATATTATACATATATATATGTATTTTTTTTTTTACATTTAGTCATTTAGCAGATGCTTTTATCCAAATCAACTTAAAAACGAGAAGCACCACAAGTAATTGATCATATTAGAGTCAACAGTACTGGCAGGAAATGGCCCGAGTAGACTTTACCTGGTACAGTTTAATGATGTGCGGATGGTCCAGCATTTTCATGATCTGTACTTCACGATAGATCTTCTCCAGGTTCACAGCATCCAATTGGGTCTTGTCGATGATCTTTATAGCCACCTGTTGAACGAAGGGCACAGAAACACACTTTCATTGGCACAGAGCCTAATGCCTCAAGCTACTCAGTGAAATTCATTAGTCTTGTTGCTGTCTGCAGTGCAAGTCGATCCAGTCTTCACAAGCCCCAGTGCGGATCAAAGGCAGAATACATGTGAGCAAAGCACACCTGAGCGTCTGGTTAACGGCTTAACTACTGAAGTAGGCTAATGATCCGAATTATATTATCATTTTCCCACAGGCATTTCATAATTTGCCAGACAAATGGGAGAAGAACAGGAGTAATTTACCATTTCATAACCACTCATACTTCAATCCCCCTTTTGACTGTATAATAATAATGTTCAGGTAAGTACACAGAAGCAGAAAAAACAGATTGCAGAGTTAAAGACTTTGACCTATGTTTTATATCATTACAGTGATATAAAACATTTTATGTTATGAAGATTTATGACACTGTGGTGCTTCAGCTTGCTTCCTACTGTTAGTATGAGGAATCTTCATAGTATAACAGAATAAAAAATAAAAAAAATCTCGAAAAAATATCAGTCAATCTTGACATTCAAATGCCAAAGAAAGGCTTAACAATAAGGATTTTTTTCTGCTGGCCAGGTCGTATTGGATTTTACCCTGGCAACATTTTCACCAGTCCTACCATAATTTATATATATCTTCCAACATTGTTGCATTACAAAACATTAAAAATAATGTTCTGAAAAATAAACTGGTGGGCCCAGTGAAATTTTGGTAAGGTCTGCAAAAATCCAAACCTAGTATAAAATACCTAGTGCAATACACACACACACACATACATATATATATATATATATACAGTGGGTACGGAAAGTATTCAGACCCCCTTAAATTTTTCACTCTTTGTTATATTGCAGCCATTTGCTAAAATCATTTAAGTTAATTTTTTTCCCTCATATATATTAAATGTAAATATATAAATATATTAAATATAATATATACAAAATTACTCAAAGGCTCACAAAGACTTGAGAGGGTGGCATATATGATAAAAAAAATATATAAATACTGATTGATTTATAATTGTAACTTATGCTTTAAAGATTTGTTTTCAACAAATTTCAACAAAACATCATCTATGTTTGCCAGGGTAGCATCTTGGTGACATCAAAATCAGCAGAATTTGCAAAACAATCTTTTTTTTTCACATAAATCCAAATGTTTACATTTGAAAGGCAAAAAACATTTGCATGATCAACGCAAGTAAGACAAAATTTACTTGACAAGTGACAGTTCTGTCTATTGGCCTGAAACTGTCTCACACTGACCCCAGGCCATCCTTGTAGTTCATCCTTGAAAAGCATAACCGTAACTGACTGAAAACATTAGAGCACATCACTATGAATCAGCTGTCACATGCGAATGTGGTTAGTGATTCTCATTGGCAGCAACAGTGATCCAACTGTCCGTTGAATCCATGAACAATAAAAGCAATGCACGAATCAGAAGACACATGCTATCAGACACATGCTGAAGACAGCTCAGAGGAAGAGCAGAGAAATCACAAAACACAAGAGACTCATGGGAAGCTGATAGAGTGTCGTCTCCTCAGAAATGAAGCCGCCTCAAGGCAGCCATTGCAGAGATGCATCAACTGTGTACAACATAATCACACACACTGCTCCAATGCTAAACTCTACAGCTGCAGACAGTCTGAAAACCGGAGAAGCTCTCTGACCAAGCATAAATTACAGCTCGCACCTTCTGTATAACACCCTGAACCAAAACTTTACTACAAAGCAACATAATCACAGTGGCACAATGTCACCAGAGGTCATCGCCTTGGATTTTTAAAAATCATTTAATGCAGACCGCACTTACAAAGCACAGACATTTTAGAGCCGAGTGTAACCAGAATAATGTGAAATTATTATTATTATTTTTTAATAATTTATGACATTTTCTGTGACCGCCGTAACCTTGTGTCATGCAAACAGTGCTCAGCAGGGTTTCTTTGCAAGGAATGTGAGACAAACATCAGCTCGTTTTTTTGTGACAAGTCAACATCCATTATCACAAAATCACCCTTTGCTTATGCAACCACTGCACAAATGCACAACACCATGGCCCACATTTAAAGGGCACTAAACCAGCATAATTTCTTGCTATTGTACACAGCCTTTGTCTTTCTTTGACAACTAGTTTTGAACACCCTGCACTTTTTGAATACTCTGCATATTTCCATTGAGGTGTTAGGCTGCTGGATGTGTGTTTATCAGTGCATGCAAAGCTGCACAAAGGCTTCAGCTAATTGTAGTCAACATACTTCAGACCAGGGTCTGAAATGAAATCAAATGTAAATGAAAGTGACAAAAATGCCTCAGATATGAAAAATGTATTATTGTTATTTATTTATTTTTTAACATTTCATATATCTAGATATGGGTCTGATGATGGTTTTATTTTATGATAAAAAAACAATTGTTTTAATTGTAATATTTTACATACATCTTGAAAGCAAATTGTTATAACAAAAAAATATTAGAAAAGTCAACATACCTTAGAGCCATGGTCAGATATTAACAAAAATGCCTCTGATATTATAAATTAATTCTTGTTTTTTTATGTTATTAGTATTTTATATATGCCTATCTAGATATGGGCTTGATGATAATTTTATTTTATAATAAAAATCACTGATTTTAATTAAACATTTAACTATTTTACATTTTGACAAAATGGGTTAAAAACATAAAAACACTGAAAAAAAAATCAGCCTTTAGTTGAAGTTATAAAACGTTCCTAAAAATCAAATCCAGGTGGCTCCTAAAAAAATGTGACACTGCTGCAGACAAACAGGTTGTTTATTACCAAAAGATAATAAGTTCTCACATAACTAGTATCAACAATAGTATGATATAATCAAGCCAGTGTGAGTAAAACTGTAACTTGTATCTCGTAGTTTTTCTGTGCAGTGCACAAGGGTTAGTTAGAGGACTCTCTCATATGACTCTGCAGCTGATATATGCTCAACTAACCTCTGTCTTGGTTATACGATGTCTTGCCAGTTTTACAACAGCGAAATTCCCCTTTCCAAGAGTCCGTTCGATATCGTAGAAGCCCACTCGGACGGGACCCCTGAGCACTGGCTTTTGGTGACAGTCAGCCATGACCATGCTGTTAGTGAAACACTAGGGTTTGTGGCGAGAAGATAGAGACCTGCCACTTGAGCCTCAAGATAACGAGGTCGGCAGAGGCTAAAACGCGTAGAAATGTCAGCGTGCCGGCCAGGGTGCTCGCTGACGGTCCGCTCCAGTCTCACCAGAAGAAGCAGGAGAGCGTTTAGGAGCGCGGCGATGTGTCACACCACCTCCTCCAATACAATAGAGCTCTAATATTTCAGCGGTGTTTGCGAGAGTACACGAGTTGACTTGCATGAGGCATCATGTTCTCTGGTTGACGTGCATTGACGTCAGAGCCTATGGGGGTATTTGCACAAGGGGCGGGGCTTCGAAGCGCTTCCACACTCCAGTGCCAATTCGTTTCCAAGACGACCAGACCCACCTCTTACGTCAACGGCCAGAGCGTCGCTCTGTTTGTCGAGCGCTGGCTGTGAAAGCCTGCCGACAGCAACTTTGATAAAGTCTCTCGCGAACTTCAGTCGAGGAATGAGAGCCGAGGGCGATGTGCTCGGTGTATGAAGGCTTTACGCTGTGGTTTTCCGGCTTTATTGAATCTTAAGTATATATTAAGTCTGGGGTTTTCAATCTTTTAAATTCCACGGAGACTCTTAATAGTTTTCTGTGTAAAGACCCCATTTATACTGTACTGTACTGTTAGATGCGTTAGTATATTTTCTTTATTTAAATGTATTTACTTGTTTACATTTAATTTATTATTTAAATCGTGTTTTTTATTATTTATATAAAACAAAATAATACAAAAACATTTAAACATTTCTATGAACTCCCTTTGCAGCCTCCTGGAGGTCCCCGGACTCTTAATTGTCTTAAATAATCACATTTTGACATCTAGGGCACTAAGTCAAATGTTTGCAACCCAACCCTGTAGACATCAAAGCAGGCGTGGCACATATTTGCTCAATTACATAATCATAATCACAATCATATAAAGCAGAATTTTGTCACAAACATTAAATATGTCTGAAGAATCAACTGAACAAGAGCTGTATTGGACAGTATTCAACAATTTATAGAACAGTTTAATAAACAAGTCATTCATATCAAGAATATGTGAGCGTAGAAACGCATTACAGACAGTGCATGTCTTGTATTGGAAAATGTAATTTAAACACCTCCATGACATAAGTGCAACAAATATGTCCTCAAAAACTGCACGTAATTCAGGTTTAGGTGGCCTATCATATGGCGACATCTCACGGTCACATGTTGTACTGCAGTCACTCAGGTCTAATAAAATACTTCACTGCTCCTACAGCTCTGATGACGTCAGGGGAATTCAGCTGAATAATAATAATGCATTTCCAAAGAATAACGTTTAGCTCAAAATATTTGCAATAAATTGAGAGTGACGCAGTCAATAAAAAGGGTACAAAATGTTGAAATAACAGAGTGGTTTGGAAAATTAGTCATCTCTGAACCCCATGTGAAGTTATAGCTAAGCATGCAGCAGCAGCAGTGACATTTGACGATATGGAAAAGGTAGAGATCAATTCTTAGCATTCATAACAAAAGCCACTGAATAAGATTTCCCAAATAAATTTTTTTTTATCAAATACAATTAAATAAAATAATTTGTTAGAGTTACATTGCTTCAAGGACAGACCATTCCCATGACTTTTGCAGTCAAAAACATTTTACAGAGACTGCACTCAACTTCTTACCAATTATAACGAACAAGAAAAATGTATATTCACTATAAAAATATACATTCTTCCTTTCCAGGCCTGTTTTTAAAATTCCCTAACATTTCCAGGTTTTCCAGGAGTGTGAGAACAATGTTGATTAAACACAAACACATCCATTAAAAGCTATTCTGTGCTCAAGAATAAGTCCAAATAATTTGACAAAGATATTATTATTATTAGGACAAACAACATATATTTTACAATCCAAATACAGCAAAAAAAACCTCATTATTTATCTTTTTGCTCATCATTTGATACCTAAAAGCAAAATACATATTCAATATGTTACAATAATGTTTTATATATACAAATCCTTTAATTCAGTTTTTACACAAAAGAGCTTACAAAGCAACTACACGGTCTTCAAAAACAAGGGAACAGCAGTAGGTATCCTTTAGAGAGGCCATTCTCAGAGACACAGAAGGATGTTGTTGAGATGGGCTGAGAGATCAGCGACAACAACATGGGCTGAGAGATCAACAACAGTTTTGTGAATTTCCAAATGGAAGGTCCTGTTCCAGGATGCCAGCTTCCACAGAGGAAGCTCTCACAAGCCGATGACACCTTTATGCTTCTTTGGATAGTCAGTTATGGGAATCTATACACCCTTGCATTAGACCCCCAATGACTTCCCCACCAGGTCACATAGTGCACATCAAAGAGCAGACATACAGACTAGAGATGAGATCAAACATGGTGGGAGAGCCAGACACACTAGTGGGAGAGACTTTACCAGTCAGTATACACTGTATAGTGTTTTAGTATCCATAGATGTCATTGTCCACCCATCCAGCCTCTACTGCCGAGGACCCCCGGCAGGTCTCGTAGATGTCATTAGTGACAAAACCGCACTGCGTGGGCCGGCTCAGGACGTTCTTGTAGTCCTCAAACTGACTGTTTGCAGACGGCATGCTAAATGTTCTGTTAATTTCAGAGCTCATGTACTCCAGATGAGCTCCAGACTGGTTGAATTTGTCGGTGCGTTCATAATCCTTCTGACTTTTTGGAGCTATGGGACGCACCCACTGTCCTGGCACGGCATAGATTTCATTCTGTTCTTTTCTCCTGCAAAGACACAGTCAGAGAGTATATTATATGGCAGGCTGACAGATAAAATAGTTCATAGAGATGTTGTGCTCCTTCTGGCCAGAAGAAGATGAGGGCCTGTAGAATAACGCCACACACTGATCAAGGCCACACGAGGGCTCTGTCACCAGCCAGTTCCTGGAAAATCACAGACTCACTGAAAATTCTATATCAGATTTACTATTTTGCTTTCACTTAAAGGAACAGTTCACCAAAAAAATGAAAATTCTGTCATCATTTTTTATTTATTTATTTTTCATTTTCAAATAGCTTTGATTTTTACATTTACAGTTTTCATTTTTTTTTTTCAGGGTATTACTGCAAATATCCTACCTGAATGTGCCCTGACTGTAATCCAACCAGTAATACTGTGATGAACAATCAGCATTATATTGTGAGCTCCTTCCTAGCCCAATCCAAAAGTCTCCATCAGAGGCCCTGAGCTCCTGCACAAATCTCTCCACCAGACGCTGCTCATTCTCGGTCTCAATACTGAGCAGCTCTCCATCATCCTCCCTGCATTTCTGTCTGGCTGCCTCAAAGCTTGCTCTGAGCCTGCTGTCCTGGAAGCTTGTGATCTTATAGCAGGGCTTCTCTGTCCCTCTCCGGCATATCCTGTGATCTGCAAACCACATCACCAAAAAACACTGATGTTAGGCTTGAACCTGAAGTACTATTATGGAAATATTGCAGGAACCGTTATAGGAAAGTTGGCGCAGGCACATGTGCGAGCAAAGAGAGGAAGAAACCAGTAGAACTTCCACAAACTGTCAGGCGGAAAATCCTCTCAAGCAAAGTCATGTGTGCGACAGCCATCAGCCATATCCTCCCTGACTAAAAAACAGCTGCCTGTGACCCATATATAAAACTCTTCTTATCCGTAAACTGTACATAAACAAACCACTGTACATAAAAGTACTCCGTGATTAAGCGTTTGTTGCATCAGCTGACGCTTGTATTCGTTAACTATGGTTCTGCAAAACAAAGGCTTCAGAAATCTTTGTTTAAAAAGACTACAGTCTCTTAACCGAAACTATCGTATTATTAGACTGTCATTATTAAATACTGTACACTAAAGAAGCATACAAAATCTAACGAAGATCATTTGAATATCACTGTGCATGAACCGACATTTTTACATAAACAAGCACAAACTCACCACCGAACGCGCTTGATGCGCAGCAGGGATGGAAACAAACTGCCAAAACAGTTCCGATCAGTTTCATGAACTCCATCTCTACATAGTTTCAATGGGTGTGCGATTGCCACGACACGACTGTTTCTAGATCCTGCCAAAACGTCCCGCTGTCAGACAAAACCAACGCAAGCAAGTTTTCACTCGGACTCCAGAAAGTTTGCTCGAGTCTCCGAATAAAAGTGCCTGCTAGCAAGAGGCTGCTGTAGCTGTTTTTTTGCGCTCCCACTCATTACGTGTGAATTTTACAAGTGTTCCGAAGTAGTTTTTTTCCTACAATGCATATCTTTTGTTCCCTATTTTTAAATAAACAAGCTAATAATACATTAGTTAACACGTTTTAAAAAGGTTACACAAATGTATTTATGTGCGTGTTTAGGCTTATTTTTTTCCATGTCACTTTGTTTCTTCATTGGAACGGGTTTGGATAAATTTAGCATCACATCACTTGCTCACCAGTGGATCCTCTGCAGTGAATGGGTGCCGTCAGAATGAGAGTCCAAACAGCTGATAAAAACATAATAATCCACAAGTATAATCCATGACTCCAGTTCATCAATGAATGTCTTGTTAAGTGAAAAGCTGCTTGTGTGTAAGAAACAAATCTATCATTAAGGTGTCCATAATCCATAATAACGCTTCCTCCAGTGAAAAAGTCCATCCCCAGTTGTCCTCTCACATCAAAATTCACCAACATATTTGTTTAGAACTGTTTTGGATTGTTTTCGCTTATGAACAGTGCTTGATCTGTACATACAGTATTTCTCTCCTGATTCAGATGAGACGACTTTTATCACTTGAGAAAGCAATGTCATGGATAGAGGATTTTAGCTGGAAGCAATGGTTGGAAGTGAAGTGATTTGTTTAGTATAAAACATGTTAATTGATGGACGGAGTTTTGTTGATTACTTGTGGGTTATTGTGATGTTTTAATCAGCTGTTTGGACTCTCATTCTGACGGCACCCATTCACTGTAGCAGATGATCCATTGGTGAACAAGTGATGTAATGCTAAATTTCTCCAAATCTGGTCAGATGAAGAAACAAACTCATCTACATCTTGGATGGCCTGAGGGTGAGTAAATATTTTCAGCAAATAGGCTATTTATTTTTGGATGAACTGTTCCTTAATTATCTTTAAATTGTTAAATTGCCAAATTGTTGTTTTATTTTTATTTTGTAGTGCTTTGACTTTTGTATGTTAAATATGTTGCAGGATATACGTGATAAGTAACCATATGCATAATCTTTTAGCAATGTTTTGTGCTTTTCCTGTATCACTAACACTCAGAGGCGGACAAAGTACTCAACTCCATTACTTGAGTGAAAGTACAGATACCGCCGGTCAAATATTACTCCTTTACAAGTAAAAGTTGTAAAGACAGATTTTTACTTAAGTAAAAGTACAGAAGTACTTGCTTTTAAAAGTACTTAAGTACCAAAAGAAAATTTCCTTTTTTATGTCAATGCACTGTTTTATTGTTGTTTGTAATACTTGCAATACTCCTGAAGTAACTTAGAATACATGACACCTACTGAATACACTGACTAGCTTGTAGTATCTTTGGAATAAAGAGCTTTTAGAATGTTAAAAACCAATAGGGAAAAAAAACAAAACATAAATAAATAAATAAATATATATAAATAAATATTTAACATCCCTACCCACCCCCCACAAAAGCAGGATGGTAGTGATCTCACACAGCCATTACTAAACATCAATCACTGTGTAATCACTGTGGTTTCTACAGTTCATATAAAATCTGTTCAGAGACATGTAGTGCAGAGGGACCAATTTTGATTGGCTCACTAGCAAACTGGCAGAGGAAATAAGATTACTTTTTATGAGGCTGACTGGTCTGTGCAAGTCAAAGGAGCTCAGTCACTGCTGTTGACCCTGCCAGCTCACAGTCAGCCGCACACTATCCTCAGGAATAGGAAGCCAGTCAGGAAAGGAAGCACACAGTTTTTCAACAGCCTGTTTCCTCTTCATCTTTGTGTTTTTTTGTTGTTGTTGTCCTTTTTCATTTCCAGACATTTCCCCCTTGACCCGACAAAAAAAATAAATTCATTAAACAGCTTAAGCTGGGAAATATAAACTATAAAAACTTTTCTGGTGTGCAGTTACAAGAGGCCTACTTAGTTAAATTCTTGGTAGAGGCAACCTCCTTCAGTGTTACTGTGTAACCGCAGTGAAATCTTTGTAGGGTATTATGAACAGATCCTGCAGATGTCATGAGGTTTTGGAGAAATAAGGGTGAGGCCATCAGGCCAGTGGCATTGCATGTGTAGTATGTTTGTACTGATCTCTGGCAGGCTGCCCGGACTCATTGCCTCTCCTCACTGAATGTAGTCTGTCATGTCACTCAAGTCACTTCTTTTGAGAACCACTAACTTCTGAACGTATGCTTGACGTTAGTATTGAAACCTTTTGAAAAACAGCACAATTGTGAGTGTTTTTGCTTTGTTCTGTTTACATCATTAGGCGTTTACATTATTTACATTGTTCTATTATTCTATCTACAGCAGCATGTCTCCAAGCAACACACATTAGTGACGTTTCATTCCAAAATAAAACTTTTAATTATTTGTTTGAGTGAATGATTCAATGACTCACTTATTACCAGAGCTAATACTGCTCTCACTATTTCTGTCATAAAAAGATATTAGAGAAATAGACAGTATACTATGCTATTCCAGAATCAGCGTTTTTGAATGAACGATTGAATGACTCATTCATAAAGATTGCTGTAACAATGCAACCTATGTCATCACTGCTAAAACCATTCCAATTCGGGGACCGGAACTAGCTGTTGTGTATACCTGGATATTAAAATTACTATTTTCACAGAATGCCTTCCTGGCATTTTAGGTTGTGCTTATTTCATAATAATCTACAGTAACATGCAGCGTGTACATTTTGTTTAGGTATGTTCAGTTTGTGTCACCTTGTGTGGATGCTGCAGCTTGCATATTTATTGCACATGCATATAGAATGGACATTAAAGTTTATCTCACTGAATGCTATGAATTTTCTATAACCTGGATGCAGGAAAGTATAATATTGCACCAGCCAGATATGAGTACTTAACAAGTACAGGCTGACTCTTGTAATATCTAAAAGAGAGGAGTTTGAGAAGACACCGGATCCACTGCCACTGCTTTCAATGACATCATAGACAGATATTGAACAGATTGAACTTCAGTATTTGTTAAAAACATGTGAAAGTTCAACATTATGTCTGCTTATTTTGTGCTCGAAACATTAGCTATATCAATAAACAAGATAATAGATGTAGTCAGGGAAGCGCCATATTTCATTTTTGACGGGAATGAACACGAGGCTGTGAGGGATTCAATTGTACACTGTAAAAAATGACCGTGAATTTAACGGTAAAAGACTTTTACCGTAAATTTTACGGAATTTTTTTTACAGTGTACTGTTGTTTAACGATATATGGATTGTCCAGCTGACGAAACGTCTTTCCGAAGGAGAATAAATAAATAAAAAAATCGACAAAAACGCCATAAAACAGTGGCGTTGTTGTGAGTTGTGAAAATTATGCGATCTAGGATCATTATATAGTGCGTAAATTAGCAATGGCATCTTAATACCACATATTATTATTATTATTATTATTAGCTAGCGTATTACAATATTATATTATATTATATTATATTATATTATATTATATTATAGTATATTATATTATATTATAATTATTATTATGGGGTATTAAGAGGTCATTGCTAATTTACTGGCAATAATATTGGTAATTTGATAATAATTTGAACCAGCAGGTGGTAGCATTGTACTAGTACTGTTTTACTATTGTACTACTATTTGTTCTGAAGAGCCTCAACGTTCCTTTCCTTTGTTCAGTTGTTAGATACTCTAATGCTGTCACAGTTGTCATCCTACGAATGACATCCCCCCCCCCAGTGGTAAAATTGGCAAGCATTGTTATTTTACAGATTTCTTACATGGCATTTTGCCATCAATCATAAAGGAGTCATGAATCATGATTTGACAGCAGAGCTCTATTCTTTACAATGGTTTTCCTGCACTGTGTCTTCCACAAAACATGATTAAGTTACAATATAATATTATATTGCTAGCACATGAGATAGGACACGGACACAATGACAGATTTGTCTGCTTGGTTCTCTTTATGTTTTACGTTCTGTTCTCTTGTTACTGTGTCTACAGTTTGATTAAAATATGTATCCTGCAGTTAAAGGATGAAATCAAAATGTGAAGTTGTTGTAAATTCTTATTCATAGGAATGTTGCCTTATAAATTTATGAATTATGGTTTATAAATTAAGTACAATCTGTACCCACTGTAGTCTTGAAGGAGTCGATTCTGTCCTTATCTGACTGTGCAAGTGGCTGGACTTCTTGAACAAGTAAGATTCTCATACTTCACACTATGCATTTTACAACCTCTCCAAATCAGATTGAGTGATCTCTGCAGTCACATGAATTCATCTAAATTGAGAATAAGACTGAAGAACACAGGGAGTTGTTTTGTCCAGTGTACAAGAACAGAAAATCATCAAGGTGTGACGCATCCAAGCATAATATGTGAAATATGTTCTCACACCAAGGGGCTTTTTGGCACAAAAAAGTGTATGTGCTTCATTCAAAGTTCTTTGTCAGATTTCAGCATCACTCAGTCAAAACTGACCCTTTAGCCTTTAGCAGGGGTGTCTTGATCTAGCTGCTCTCAGAACACAATAGATGAGGCTTGCATGCGAGCCAGACGAACAAAGGCTATTTTTGGCGTTCTGTGTTTCATACCTTGTGGCACATTATCACATTTCTCGTATTCATAATGTTCTATTCCCAGGAGATGATGCAACATTTTATGTTTCAAATGATTTATACACAACAGACTCTTAATTTACATTCTAAGACTTTGACATTTAATACTGTTACAGAAAAATATCTGTTCTCAGATGGACAAAATAGACAAAGTAAGAATTCTGGACAGTTTTTACAGTTGGTTCACACAGACAACAACACATCTGAAAGTTTAAATGTAATACACAACAATATGACAAAAACATCAGTGCTACAACAAACCATATTTGTTTGTATGAGTAAATGTCGCTCAACATCATTTACTCTCATTGAAACAAACCATACAACTAACACAATTTCAAATTAATAGCCAACAGGATACCTATAGTGTGCTATTCAAGACTTTATTTCTATAAACAGATTTAATGAATGCATTTCACATTATATACATACAAATTGCAGATGTCAATGTACATAGTAGCTTCCAGATTACACATAATAAATCATAAACCTGATTCCAATTGCACTTCACATGTAAAAAATGATGGTAAAATGCTTTCGATCATAGAATAATGCTAACCTATTAACATATACATACATGTTTTCTACATCTTTGTTGTCATAATCACATATTTATCAGTCTTCATTTATAGAGACTTATCTGAATTACAGAACTGGTATCTCTTGGAAATGCTTCAAATCTCACTGTCACTGCATTAAAGGAACTGTCATTGTTAACCAGAAGCAGCGGATTAATTTTATAATATGGGAAGGAATTGTACAGTATTGTAGTAGGAGGGATGAGACACTCCATGCACCTAAATCACGCCTGGGGTCCAATGCTATATAAGAAGCATCTCATCGCCTTTCTCAAATTGTGTCCCTGGGAGTTAAACAGGTATGGTTTACTGTTTCTTTACACTGATATCTACTGCTTTTTCTCTTAAATGTTAATAAACAACGCAATGCATTCTAAATAATTACATTCATTGTAATTATAACAGTTGCATAAGTTAAGGTTGTGTTGTTGGATTACTTTTTCAGTCTGTGATTTTTTAGTCGTGTTCTGCTGTTGCTCTGTAGCAGGAATGATGCTGTGTCTCTGCTTCTGTGCACTGGCTCTCATCCTGCAACCGGTTCACTCTGCCTATAACTGCTCCTTGGAGTATAACAGGGTTCCAGGTGAATCTCTGACCTTCCAGATGCGAGACAGTCTTCCATTCTCTGCAGTTTGCTTGACACTATCACCTCTCTTTTTGGTTAGACAACAATGATCTGGTGGTAGACTGTGGCACCAACATGATCACTCTGGAGGTAAACCTGTGCACTGAATTTGTCTTCAATTTGTCACTCTGAAATGAAAATATGTATCATTTTATTGATATTTTTGATTATTTCTGAATCAGAGCACAGATTTTAATAGCCAATTGGTGGTTCCGCTTACTGGATTAGAACTGCGCACTAAAGTCTATGTTGAAGTTAAAGCTGCCAATCTCACTGGAAAGTAAGAACACGGCAGTTTTCTCTTAGACAGTGAATGGCATGTTTCTTAAGGGTTTTGTTGTGAAATGAAATACTGCCTTTTTTCAGTTTTCATCTCTTGCTGGACCACTGTTTTGCGACCCCATCACCATATAATCACACCAACTACAAACAGCACAATTTTTTCACAGGGTGAGTTACTCCTAATTAACAATTCATTGCTCAGATTGGACCCTTAGTTGTTGATTTGTGTTCAGTGTTTCTCGATTGTTTCATGACAGATGCTTTGTAGAGAACCGGACAACGATGCTTTATAATGGCCGTTCCAAGTTTTCTAGATTTTCATTTGAAGCCTTCCGCTTCGTGGAGCACCGTAATCAAGAAATGTCTACTATATACCTGCACTGCATACTGCGACTTTGCGAACCAAACAAGTGCCAAGAACTTCTTGATGTAGGAGTCGTTTACTGTTCAAATAGAATGAATACTACTACCGAAAATATCATCCAATTAACGTTTCACTTATTTTACTCGTACAGTCTTGCAGCTCTACCAGAACACGAAGGCGAAGGGCCCTAGAACCTTACGGATCACAAGCCAAAGATTCTGCCACAGTGTCCGTGGGTCCTCTGCACACCGCAGCCCTGAGTAAGTCAGTCACATATACACATGAATCCAGCATGAGTCCCAGCTTATTGTCAAACATACTGAATTCCTAATGAGAGCGATTTTGAGATGCCTTACTACTCTCTCTTTTTGATCCTGTAGAGAATGAAGTTTCTTCTGCAATGGCTTCTGGTATGGGATTCTTTTTGAAACTTTGCTTCAATCAAAATATTGCTCTTTTTGCTTAGTTCATTTTAAATGGAGTTAGAATACCAAAATAATAAATGTATTAAGGTCTTTAAAGCTGCATACATACTAATTAAAAAAATATATTTAAAAATGGTAGAAAATGTATATATATTTTTTAAACCATCAGTATACAATTTTAATCACCTTTTTGCCTAGGTAATTAGAAAATGCTAAATGAAAAATTAATAAGGTCATAAAAGATGCATACATACTAATTGTAAAAATAGTCAAATGTAAAAAATAAATAGTAGAAAATGTATCAAATATATTTTAAATAACCTTTTGCATAGGTATTTTTAAATTGTGTTAGAAAATTTGGAAAAAATAAAATTAATAAGGTCATAAAACCTGGGTATATAATAATTACAGAAATGTTAAAATATAATCTATAAAAATATAATATAATTACAAAAAAGTATATAAAGTGTTAAAAGGTAGTTTAAAAAATATAAAAAAATGCTATTATAAAAATAGCAATACATAGCATTTTATTAAAACATTTACAGTATAGATCATAAAAGCTGCATACATACTAATAAACATAGTAAAATGTCAAAATTATTATTAAAAATGTAAAACCAGTATTAAAAAAATATTTAAAAAGTATTAAATATAGCACAAAATATTGCACTTTGATGTAACTGAAATTCAGATGAAAATACTTAAAGATAAATAAAAATCTAGACACTAACAGCACAGTGCCATGTGTTGACAGCAACTGTTTGTCTTGTGAATCAGGAGGCAGTGAGCTGTTAAACAGGGACAATATGAACGTGGCTGGAGTGGTGGTGGGGGTCATTTTTGCCACCGGCAGTGCTGTGTTGCTGGTTATGACTGGATGGTTTGTGCTGAAGAAGTTTTGCTGGGCTGGTGCTCTGCCTCGGGCTTTCCACTAAGAGATCCATCAACTCGCCATCTGTTTTGCGTTGAATGAAGCTTAATTTGATATGCCGATAAGACGTCTGATCACATCACAGCATCTGCACAAACCAGCAAAGAACCTCTTTGCATAATGCCTATTTAGCATATTTTAATATATTTAGACAGCACTGTGTAGTCCAGTCACCATGCGCTTGGAAGAAAAATCAAATGCTTAATTCTCTCATGTAAATGCAAATACTGCTATTGGCATTGTTTGATATCGTTTAGATGTTTGTTATCTGAATAATACTGTAAGAGGGATGTAGGCCTAGCTGCATTATTGAGAGGAACAAACTGTGCATATAATCTTTTTGTAATATTTTGATTACACATTGCTTCTTATACACATTGCTTGTATATTAGCTCAGGGGTTTTCAAACTTTTTGATGCCAAGGACCCCCAAATGTGATCAAAAGGCAGCTATATTTTGTCATGTATAAAGAACCATTTATATTGTGTGAGAAATATTAAGTGTGCAATGTTGTTTATTAAATTAAGTAATTGGCTTTTAGTTTGACTGTACCAAAAGCAAAGTAAATTATTCAAGTAATATCTGGAAAGTTTTCTACCGACTATTAGATGAATTTAGTATAAAATAATATTTAAATTAAGATTTATTTGTAAAAGAGCTTTTTTATATTTTGTGTTAAAAATGATTGCATTTGATAAACATGTTAACTTTGACAGCCCTAAAAATAAATTATGTAAAAAAGTGCGCTATTATAGATTAAAGTAGATTGTAACATAGTTTTCATTGTGTCTAATTTTTCAAATTTTCTACGGACCCCAGTTTGAAAACCTCTGTATTTGCCAATGATTTGCTGCTTCCTGTAATTTAATATGATATCACAATTGTTTAGATGTGATTTATTTAGAAAGAACTTTTATTCATATACTGTAGTTGAGACAATAATCAATGGACAACACATATTTATTTCAAATATGTACAAATTGAACTTTTTTTATTTACATGTTTATGAAACAGTATATCCACACATTACACAGAATATCTTCAGTAAAAGGAAGAAAGGTTTTCTGTTGTCTTTCAGTTCAATGGATTTCGCTGTACTTTACATAAGGATCTTTCTGAAAACTGTACAAACAACAATATTGTTCTACAAAAGTTACAGGTCACAATGTACAATCCAAACATAAGAGCTGTTATTTACAGTACATTACAGTTGCATTTCTGATTGGAATGGAGGTGTGTTGTTTAATTTAGAGTGTGTACGATGTCTTGTAATAGGGCTGTGAGTCGGGTTGAGAAATCCTCCTGTATGGATTCTATGTTTGTCTGATGGAAACCAGCTGACTCACCATGACTCTGGTTTTCTTGTAGAGCGATCATCTGTTGGTCTAAGTTAGAAATAAACAGTTGATTCCGAGCTGAGGAATTCTGGCAGAACTGATCCACCTTTGAAGCCATCACATCCCTTGGAGGCTGTGCCGAGGCCAGATGGCCTGCCAAAGCTATCTTGAGTGCCGCCACCTTCCCTTGTACCTCTAAACTGAAGGTACACACTTCCTGTCCCAGCCTGGCAGTAACTTCCTCCCAAAGCTCCTTTCCACTGCTGTCTCGTTCCTCCTCTACAGCCTCAAATGCTTTTGTTTTAAAGTCCTCAAAGGCTGCTGTCCTTTTCTGGTGGCTTTCCTCCAAAGCTAGCGTGATCCTCTGCACTGCCTCCTGGTAGAGTGTGGCTTCCTCTGGGTTCAGGTCCTGGAGGTTCAGACTGAGATTCTCACAGAGTTCCTGAGTGTTGGATTGGACAGCCGTCTGGAGCTGCTTAGTGAAGGGGGAGAGGAACTCCTTGACATTGGCCATAGTGTGTTTCGGGTGGCTGGGGTAAGGAGAGAGTCTCTCCCTCAGTTCAGCAAGCTCCTGCTTGAGACGAGCCCTCAGGCGCTCAGACTCCATACTCAGTTTGCGACTCAGTTCAGCTGCCATGGGGTTGTAAGAGTCTTGGGAGTAAAGGTCACTGCTCACCACATGGTTCTTCCACACACCACTGCAAAACAGCATCAGGGGTCAGTGATTTGGACAATGACTTGGATGTGGACAAGAATGTCCATGATAAAGAAAAGGAAAAAAATCAAACTAGTTGTGCCAAGTTATTCGAAATGTACTTTTTGTATTCTTGTTGGTTCATATGGTTTAAGAAACTCTTATACAAAAAATACAAATAAATTTAAATGTCAAGTGGTGTAACCATCAAGTAAAAAGAAATAACATTTTCCATACACCTTGATAACATTTGAGTGTACACCTCTTTTCATTATTTTCAAAAACATTTTAAATGTATTTTTCAAGGTAAAAAGTTTTTTTTTTAATAAATATGAATTATTAATTCATAAATATCTTTACTTTTTTGGTGGGTTGCACTACATGGCATTACAAACGTTTTTCAAATATTAATCAGAAGTTTTGCTAAAAAGTTTTTTTTTCTAAGAAATAACTATATAACTATATTATAACTACTTAATAAGGTTATCCATTCGAGAATATAATTTTTTTTAATGAGCCATTTTCTTCATTATGATATCACAGATGTATTGCTCTGACATTTTCACTTCATGTCCCTCAAAAAATATCAAAATGAATTTTAATTTAGAAATTAAAAACACGCTGATCGCAGAAGAGGTGTATTCAAGACATGGTATGTATGAATAACATTTTTTAATGCATGAAAATAAACAAAATGAATAAGCATCATGTCAGTGTACCGTACTGTCAATACTTCTACTATGAGAGTGAACTTACTTTAAGTCTTTGGCAACATTTTTCTTGTCAATGGCCTGATTGTCTCTCTGTAAACTCCATGCGTCTCGACTTATCTCATCATTGAGTGGAAATGCTGAAGGGGAGGATGGTTGCATTAGATAAATGTAAAAACAAAAAAAGGTAAGGAAAAAAGTATAAAGAATGTAAAAAATCTCCATTTTAGAGCAAATGGAAATTGATAATATAGAAACTGAAGAGGCAACAAACCTGTTGTAGTAGCTAAAGCCAAAGCCAATGCAACAAACTGCAGATTCATATTTTTGTAGTGTTGCAGGTTATTCTAAAAGAAAGAAAGAAACAAACAGGATTTATGTAATTAGATCCATTTATTTCAGTATAATTGACTGCCAATAAATTAAAGAGGACGATTCAAATGTCATGAATTAATTAGTCTATACAAGTAGATATTTGGCCCTTACCTGTTGATGTGAAGATGAGAATTTCTTCTCGGGGTCCACATTTAAAGCAGTCCCTTATCAGAGGTTGCCCTGCTCTTCATCTGTGTCAACACATACCACGTGGAGGGTCAGTTTGATAACGATAGGCGCTAGGAACCTAAAGATATTTTGCAGAATGGCCTCTTCAAAGCTGCTCTCTTCCAACAACACAGATTCAGAGTAGCCCCAGTGATGTCACATCAAGGCCAATATTGACGCAGTTCAAATTTATGCGAGGTCATTGCTATTGGAATGTTTACTACTAACCGGAGGTGTTTGGTCAGCTCTTATAGTCAACAGGTTACTTTTACACGACATGGGCTTCATACAGGATGCTCTGTCCCAGGGATTATGTTGGCTGTGAACTTAACTGCATGAAATTTGGCTTAGTTTTATCAGTCATGTTGAGTCCTACTTAGCTTTCCCACAGCAATGACACAGAAATAAGTCACAGAGAATGCACCCACCAGGCATGTGCTTGCTGCATTATCTCTGGCTCCACGAACAAAGGTGCTGTTTGTTTGTTCTTTACTGAATGAGTCCTTAGGTTTGCTTTGAGTCAGCTAGTGATATACAAAGCCAATAGCGGTTTACTTTGAGCATTTGTTTATTCCAGTTTAGACCCACTTTCTGGCGGCTGTATAAGTGAGCATTGGGCAAGAACAAACCGTATACAGGGAATTTTGCCATTCAAATGCCATAGTTTTAGTTACCAAACATTCTGTTTGTCCAGGGTAGTGTGTTGTGTAAATCTAAAGCATTACATCATTGTAATTTGCTCCATTTATTTTGCTGTCTGGGCAATAACATGTTTATCTAGAGATACAATATAATTATACAATTATTATACAATCGTTCAATTGTGGTGACTTTGGGAGCATCACTTTTACCTTTTCCTAAATATTATCGGTGTATCACTGGTTAAATTTCTGAAAAAAAAGTTGGCTGTTAAGTCAGTCATATATATATCTTATCACTGACCCAAAAAACAAACGGAAACTAAACAGACTTTATACCTTTCAGCAGAACTGGATCAATCCCACTACATTCATTCACAAATTTAACATCCTTTGGCCTAGGAAAGACTAATTCACGTACGTGACACACACTTAACAAAAAAGTTCTTCATCGCTGCCAAACGTTAATATTCATTTGCAGGGTTTGTTTCAGGTAAATATTCCTATTCTTCTTCTTCTTCCTACTGAGTGAGAAACAGCTCTAAAGGATTCAGTTCATACGTGAACTCTTCGAATGATTAAGGTTGAATCACGTACTGATTCAGCCCGCACTTGACTTTGATTCATTCGCACTTCAAAACAGCCGAAAAGAAGTGGCAGACACAATAGATGAACACAAAAAATTAATTCCAGTTAAAATGTTTCTCAGGTTGGTACACGGTATTCCATGTATTCCAGTACATTTTTTTAGGGCACAACAGTATTTTACTTGTGGCTTGTGCCACAGGAAAACGAGTCTAGCAAGTTGTAGCGTCGCCTGCTGTTTATAAATGCGTCACTAGTGAGTTAGATCTTTAAAGGCAGAGTAAGTGATTTCTGGTAGCCAATGTTGATATTTGAAATCACCAAAACAAACACGCCCCTACCCCAAAAGGGTCTTGCCCCTATTTTGATAGCTCTGCCCCACATATACGTACGCAACCCAGGCAACGATTAGTTCTGTGAAACAAAGCAAAACCAATGTTACACCGTGTCTACGGACGTGAGCGGCGCGGCGCGGCGCAACAAATCCCCGACAGAAAACTGCTGTCGGGTTCTATTTATGACGTGCTGACACACATTTCAAATGGTTTTCAACGGTCGTTTGACCTCTTTCTCGCGTCCAGTGTAGGCAGACTTTAGTTGTTGTAGACACGGTGTTACTCACCTATTGAGAAGAAACAAAGCAACCTCGGTGTCCGATCGCAGGCCTCCGCTCCTTGTGTTCTCTCCAGCGCTGGAAAGCTGATCCAATATTTACACGGGTCCTACTTCTTTGCCTTATCGTTCCGCAGACGTTTTCCTCTTTTGTTTTTTATCCGCCATCTCTATCTTTCTGTCGCTCGGCTCGGCTAATGTCCGTCCCATGCACTGAAAGCTCTCTCCTCCACATCACGAGTAGACACGCCCCTTATTGCTGATTGGCTACAAGTTTGTTTTGCTATTCGGCCCGAATCAGTTTTCTAAAGTGTTTTTGAAAAATCACATACCCTGCCTTTAAATACGGACACAGTTGTTATCTAGGAGGAGACTGCGAATAACTCTCCATGCATGTATTGAGTTTAACTTGCAATAACAAATTGTGCAACAAGTTGTTTTGTGGCAATGGATATCAATTTATAAGTAGGCTAACTATAACATATATTATCAGTTTTTTTATCAGATAAGTTTATAACTTCAGCACTAAAGCTATACCTTGTCAGTTGAGTTCATTCTTGTGTAGGGCTAAAAGCGTGTGAAATGTGAAAATGTATTGCATAATTGAAGTCACCATTAGGTCATAGTCCACACACGCTCAGATAAAGTAATTCAGGGTCCAAGTTCAATGATTTGAATCAACATTGCAAAAATTATGAGGTCATCATAAGCAGTAAGCATAGTGTTTAACTGGCATACAGATTCATACTTTTTAAAACATTGTTTTTCACTCCAAATTTTATGTCTGATTTACATTGTCAATACTAGATATGATTCCCTTGCACAGTATAAAGAGTGTAACAATTTTTGCTTAAGTAAGTGTTTGATGTTAATTCAAGCTTGTTTATACTGCTATAGGACTCTGGATCCTGCAGATTCAACTTTAACCCAGATATTGCAATCGGTTTACTAGGCTGACCATGGCCTTCTCGCCTACTGGGTGCATCAAACGAATTAAGCCAAGGGATGTGAAAAACCAGGTTTGTTGTTTCAGCATCCCATTGCTTGTTTGAATAGAGAGTGCCTGGAATGTTCTCTTTCCCTGCCAAAGTATTTGAGAAAGTGTACACAAGTAGGACATTTCTGATATGACTGGACATTTTCTCATAAAACTGCAACTTGTGACTGATTTGATATTTTTCAGATGTGCTGAAAGACATTTAAAGCACAGCCAAAATTATTAATCAGTTTCATGGTTTCACTGTGGCCTGTAATCTGAACTGGCAGCATCAGGTTGCATCTTTCTACCTATTGGCATGTGTGATACTTTATCTCTAGACTGTTCATGAATCATTCAGCATGGCAGGGAGAGAGATTCCTGTATGCCTTTGAGCTGTCTCTGAGCCCTGGACAGCAAACTGACATGATGTGCTCGTTCTGGGTTTGCCACTGCTGGCCTACCCTACTTTGCTGGTTCTTTGCCCCAAGACTGAGCACTGCTGTTGGATCAAACATAACTCTAAGACTTCTTGAGAGATCTTCCTGCAAACCAGGTAACTTGAATTTTTCTGGGACACGAGGATGTAAAAAATGCATCAAGTGGGTGTTTATTGGGGTTAATTTTTATTACAATGTGAACAAGACAACTGTCTTAAACTCTATACCATGCCTTGATCATATATGTTGGCTACTTTTATGTGTATTTTTATATGTATAATAAAAATAATTATATTTTACACTTGTTCTGTTAAACTCTAAAAATGCATTATACAAATTATTTTAAATTACAATGATCTAATAAGTGAATTAATCATTTTGATATTTATTGTTACAATTATTATCACTTGTGATAATTAAATTGCAAGCTATTTCCAGCCATGATGTAATTTTGTGAAAATATAAAAAAAAAAGTACAAATGCATTTAATATGTGTGTATTTAGGATGCAGTGTTATGAAATTTGCCTTATCAAGACAAGAATTCAGACATTTATCCCAATATTTGTTAAATGTAATTTCAGAAGACCAAGTAAATTAGTTAGAGTGTGAAAAGTGTGTTTTAAGAGCTTATTTTCTAAAAGTTCACATCGCCAAAAATGTCATGTTTGAAGAAAAATTTAAAGAGTAGTGCATGCTGAAAGTTTACTCACTCTCAGGCCATCCAAGATAGCATTACATCACTATCACTTGCTCAACAATGGATCCTCTGCAGTGAATGGGTGCCGTCAGAATGAGAGTCCAAACAGCTCCATCAGTTAAAGTTTTGTAAAGTGTAAAGTCGCGTTTGTATTCATCAAGATGTTTCATCATTAAAGTCATAATTAAGACCGATGCTTCTGATGATTTATAGTTAAATTGCTTTATTAAAATTTTTGATTTGTTTAATGGATTTGATGATGGACATACATGCAGCTTTTTAATTCAGACATTAATTTATGAACTGGAGTTATGTGGATTACTTGTGGATTATTGTGATGTTTTTATCAGCTGTTTAGTTTCTCATTCTGACGAATTGGTTTCTCTTATCATTCCCATTCACTGCAGAGGATCCATTGGTGAGCAAGTGATGTAATACTACATTTCTCCAAAAGTGTTCTGATAAAGAAACTAACTTATCTGCATCTTGGATGGCCTGAGGCTGAGTACATTTTCAGCACATTTTCATTTTTGGGTGAACTGTTCCTAAGAATGAAACTGAGTTTGATTATTGAAGCAAGATTAACCTTCTAATTTTGTGCACTCTGAAGGTTTTTACTGCCCAGAGGGAGGTGAGGGTCCAGTTCCATGTCTCAGGGGAACATTTGGACCAAGTTTTTGGGCCCAGTCTGTAAATGACTGCATCAGCTGCCCGCCACATCACTATGGACCTAGAGAAGGCCTGAGCAATTGCCTGCCCTGTGGGCCCTGGTCACAGCAGCCTCTGCCTGGACAGGACAGCTGTACATGTCTGCGAGAGGGTCAAGTCTTCCAGGTAACAACTTATTGCGTTGTTTACATAAGTTCCCATGCATTTGTAGCTAATTGTAGAGAAGCAATCTGCAGACCTCTGCTCAGACAGACGCTCATGTTTCAGCCTAGTGGGAGTCTGGTTACCACTCTCACTGACTGCTGAATGCTCTTTTCATCAGTTACTAGTCACTAGGGAAAACAGTCAGGATTTATTGTCTCTAACGACTGCTGTCTTCCCAATCCTGAATGTAGGCCAGTGACGGACAGTGTCCATGTACTTTGGGATACACACAGAAAGGAGAAGCCTGTGTGTTGAAGGTCTATGAGATCTGCAAGGATGGCAGAGCACGAAACCAGCATGGAGAATGTCTGGACCACAAGCAATGGAAGCAGTATTGCTCCCAGCAGGTGAGCATCCAAAGGAAAGAGGAAACCGGGGTAATAATGAGAAACCTGCATTACAGTTGTGCTGTTTGCACAGTGATGATGACATACCATTCAAAATTTTATGAATGGTGCGTGATAACTTGCTTATTTTGCTTATGAAAGACATCCAATCTTCAATGTTTTCTTAGTGTTGAATGGTTGACCAGCAAGTCAGTGACCTGTAAAGTAAAATACCTTCCTCCATGAACTTTTAGTGCACACATAAGGGGCCACATGTGTACCGCTGAACATGATGTGTGACTTATGACCCAGTGACGCAGTTTTCTCATTGAGCAATATGTCAAATGTTGTACCCCCCCAGGTGTGTCCATCTCCTGAGCTGTATGAAGGCTATGATGGTTCTCTGGGCCTGTGTGCTTGCAGAGGGCTGTCCAGGCCTGAGCCAGACAGGGTTGAGTGTGTGGGCTGGTGCCGGAGCATCCTGAGTCCAGTTCTGCAGCTGGTTTGCACTGGAAGCCTTTACCTGCTCTACACTGAGTCTAATCAACAGGTCAGGCCTAGTCCATCCACGTCATGATGTGGTGTTAGGAAGGAGACCCAAAACATGATGACCACCTCATAGTAGTCTAGTTTTGGGGTAACACATTACAAGCAATGTGCCAAATGAATTTTTCCCCCAGATAGTAAAAATGCATGTAATTTGTTTCATAACATCTTGATAAAACTACATGTCTTACTTTTCCATTTATTACATTAATTTGAAAACCTCTCGCTTTGATAGGAGTAATAGGGGTATATTTTAATGCATGCATTTAAGCATTGTAGCCTGTCAAAGTTTTATGTTTAAAAAAAAATACACCAAAACAAAGTTGATTTTTTTGTCAAAAACATAATATTCATATATGATTAGTTGATTAACGTGATTGAATTTCCAGTATGGATACAATTTTGCTGCATGAAAATCTGGACATTTTAATCGTTTTATGCAATGCTATTTTAGTATTATTTATATACTGTTATTATATTTCTTAATATTTTGAATTAGCTTTTATATATTCAGTTTCCATTTGAATTTTAGTCTAGTACAATTTATAGGCAAAACAGTTGTAATTTAGAGGCACTCTTCATAAACTGTAAACCATTCTACTCGCTGTGGGAGTTTTATTCTTTCATTCTTGTGAATGTGTACATTCCTCCAGACGCGTGTGTGAGTGCAGCGCTTCAACAGTTGGCTGAACAAATGGACTGAAAATGGAGCAAAAGTACCCAGACTCTCTTTCAATCATTCTTGGATATTCTAACAATGCAAATATTTCCCGTGAACTGCCAAAATACAGACAGCACGTTACATGTCCCACCAGAGAGTAATATATTGGATCACTGTAACACCACAATAAAGGATGCATTACTCTGTCCCACGGGCAGCTTTGGGGCTCTCTGATCACTGTCTAGTTCATCTCATACCAACCTACAGGCAGAAACTGAAATCAGTTTGATGGACTAATGAAGTAGATCCGGATTTACAAGCCTGCTTCGACTGCACTGATTAGAGTGTTTTTGAAGCTGCAGCCACCAATCTGGATGAGCTCACAGATACTGTAACTTCATATATCAGTTTCTGTGAGGATATGTGCATTCCTACCAGGACATTTCTATCATTCAGTAATGATAAACCATGGTTTACTCAAACAGCTTTGTCATGCCAAAGAGGATGCTTACAGAAGCGGGGATAAAATCTTGTATAACCAGGCCAGAAACAGACTAACAAAGGAGATCAGAGTGGCTAAAAAAAGCTACTCCGAAAAGCTGAAAAAACAGCTTTCAGCCAATGACCCAGCGTCAGTATGGACTGGTCTGAGGAACATCACCAAGTACAACACATCACCCCCACAGTCTGTGGAGAATCAACAACTGGCTGACGATCTTAATGTGTTTTTCTGCTAGTTTGAAAAGCCCAGCATTACACCCCACA